ACAGGATGAGCACTGCCAGAGCTCTACAAAATGACCTCCAGCAGGCCACTGGTGTGAATGTCTCTGACCAATCAGAAACAGACTTTATGAGGGTGGCCTGAGGGCCCGCGTCCTCTAGTGGGCCCTGTGCTCACTGCCCGGCACCACTGAGCTCGATTGGCATTTGCCATTGAATAGCAGAATTGGGAGGTCCACCACTGGAGCCCTGTGCTTTTCACAGATAAGAGCAGATTCACCCTGAGCACATTTGACAGATGTGAAAGGGTCTGGAGAAGCTGTGGAGAATGTTATGCTGCCTGTAACATTGTTCAGCATGACCGTTTCAATGGAGGGTCAGTGATGGTCTGGGGAGGTATATTCATGGAGGGACGCACAGACCTCTACAGGCTAGACAATGGCACCCTGACTGCCATTAGATATCGGGATGAAATCCTTGGACTCATTGTCAGACCCTACACTGGTGCAGTCCTAGGTTCCTCCTGGTGCACGACAATGCCCATGTGGCGAGAGTATGCAGGCAGTTCCTGGAGGATGAAGGAATTAATACCAATTAATGTCTCCCATTCTCGCCTGACCTAAATCCAATAGAACACCTCTGGTGTTCAGGACTTCAGTGATGCTCTGGTCCAGATCTAGGAGGAAATACCCCAGGACACCATTCATTGTTTCATTAGGAACATGCTCCAACGTTGTCAGGCATGCATACAAGCACGTGGGGGCCATACAAACTACTGACTACCATTTTGAGTTGCTGCAATGAAATTTCAGCAAAATGGACTAGCCTGCTGATTAATTTTTTCACTTTGATTTTCAGGTTGTCTTTGAATTCAGTCCTCTGTAGATTGATACTTTTCATTTCCATCAAACGATGGGGCATTCTTACATTCCTAAAACATTAACCAGTCCATATCAGTATAGATATCCAGCATGATATTTTTCCCTATTGAGGTGTGATGTGTTTTTAAAATGTTCCTTCAATTTTTTTGAGCAGTGTGTATAAAACAGCGAACCAGGCTCTGAGCAAACATACTCTGGAGGAGAATTTCCCAGGTCCATGTGTTTTAAATAACAGTGATCAATTCTCCACCAGATAATGTTTGGGGAAAAGTCACCTTCACTGCTTTATAAATAGACCCTTTTATGTCATTCATTTAGATACTAAGCTCTGTAACTATCAAAGATAATAGCTGGGATTACACATCTCTTTGTCAACAGTTTTTGGACTCTGGGAAAGAGAGAAGGGAGGGAGGGGTGAAGGAAAGGTAAAAGAATGAAGGATGGAAGGAAGGGTGAAGGAAGGATGTGAAAAGATGGGATTGGAGGAAAGCAAAGAAAAAAGGAAAGGAAAGAAAAAAGGAAAGGAAAAAGGAAAGAGAAAAGGAAAGGAAAGAGGAAAGGAAAGAGAAAAGGAAAGGAAAGAGAAAAGGAAAGGAAAGGAAAGGAAAGGAAAGAGAAAAGGAAAGGAAAGAGAAAAGGAAAGGAAAGAGGAAAGGAAAGAATAAAGGAAAGGAAAGGAAAGAGAAAAGGAAAGGAAAGAGAAAAGGAACGGAAAGAGAAAAGGAAAGGAAAGGAAAGGAAAGAGAAAAGGAAAGGAAAGAGAAAAGGAAAGGAAAGAGAAACGAAAAGGAAAGGAAAGAGGAAAGAGGAGAGGAAAGGAATGGAAAGGAAAAGGGAAAAGAAAAAGGAACATAGTTCATACCTTGAACAAGTCAGTGCTACAGTTTCAGGCTTTTCCTGCCACCTCTTGGCTTGTGTATGATCCCCTAACCTGTCTTATGTTAGCTTCTGGTTCCTGTTCTGTGTTCCCTGACATGGTTCTGGTTGGAACTCTGGTCTGTCTTTGGTTAGTGATTCATTTACTTGTTGTCAGTCCTAATTTTCAGCTTGCATTACTTGTCTGCTACCTTCCCAGTACCAGTTCACTGATTTTTTGCACTCAGCTGATGTTTTGGTGCTATGCTTGGTTTCCTGCTTGTCAGTTATCCTTGTTTAAATGAAGATGTTCAAGCTATGCCTCGAGCTCCTGGTTTTAAAGTTCCAAGGAAATATTTTATAATGAGCCAGCACGTGCATGTGAATTTTGTGGAGAATGAGATCTGCTGACACAGACCATCGTTATTTCATGTGTAATTGCTATCCAATGTCTAGCAAGTTTTATCTGTTGCTAATTAAACAAGGAAACATTTCTTAAAAGGAGCCCTACTTGAGTCTCCACATAAAGCTCTGTTAATAGTCTTGTTGGGTTGGTTCAACCCAATCACTAAGCTCTTATATAACATTTATAGGTCATTTCAAAAGTAATTTTTAGTCTTTTAAAATCCAATTTTCAAAAAAAATGGGATGATTCCGCCATAAAGGTCCTTGTACAGGCACTTCCTGTTATAGGGTGAAAATGATCTGTCACTGTCTTCAAAACGTTCTCCTGAGTTGTCACTCTGTCACCTCTGTATAAGATTCTAAGTAGATGTTCCAATGCTTAGTGCACATGTATGTTCCAATTCTGTTAGCATTAGGTAGCCAACCCTGAGCAATAAGAAGTTGACCACAGACAGTCCCTTATTTTTTCTGCACATGCGTGGAAAAGTCCTATTTATTCCTCAGAACAGGATGTCTAGGTCTGGAACACATGATAGATGGCCTCTCCTTTGGAATACTGTAAATGGGATGTTTCATACATGTGCCAAAGTACAGGACCAACCAGGAAAGTTTGCAGGGGCAGCTATGTGGCACCCCATGGGCTGCACTTCGGAGAGTTCAGATGGTGAATTAAAAAAGAGTGTTAAAAAAGTAATTTTACTTTAATATAGGCGTATGCTAAAATGCCACATATTATTATTATTTTATTATGTTTTTATATGTATTATTATTATTATTCAGGAATTATCTAGTGCCAGCTGTCTGCACAAAACTTTACGACATACAGGGAGACAGTACAGTTATACAATTCAAGACAAGAGGGTTAGGAAGCCCTTTCTAGTGAGAGCTTACAATCTAATAGGTAGGACAAGCATGGACAAAACCACATAGGTTTTCTCCTATCTTACACATATAATATTTACAATTGTTCTGAGAGTTCTAAAGTCACCATACAGTCAATAAATTAAAGGTCATAGTACAAGCATGTATGGTTGTGTCGACTGACCATTTTTGTAACCAAGGTGAGGTTGAGGAGGAACATGCAATGAACACCCTAACCTCTCTCAATTTAAAACAGTAGCAATTGACTGAAAAATATTCAACCCAGTTAGCCATCTTTCTCTATAAATCTGAGATGGCCAGGGAGCTTCTGCCATGGTTGGGTAGGGTCTATAAATATTCCCTATCTGAGTGTAAATGGCAGGACAGGGAGAAAGATCTCAAGGCACCTTTAAACTGAACTTCTCTTTAATCTTCTGTGATTTGTTAGAAATGTTTGATGAACACTCAACAACCCTAATGACTTTATTTTGTAACATAATAAGTTCCTGATGATCTCTGGCTAAGCAGCTAATGAAACGAGGAGCAATGATTAACTCCCCTGTGCTACTAATCAGCTATAATGTGGAAATAACAAAATCTTGTGTTCACCAGCATGAGCATGCACTTTATCCTGCTGAAGTTATTCTAGAAGAGATAATGTCATAGAGAAATTAGAGCCAGTACACTCAATTTGTTCTGTTCTAACAGAGCCCACACGTATTCCAACTCAAATATTTTATAGTCCAATAATTTCATTATATTCAGAATAGAGCCACAGAGAAAATGTATGGGCATTTTACAATTATGGGCTTTTGGGTAAAAAAACTAAAATGTAATTGAACAATTTAGAAAATTTTGAACCTTTTTTTATTAAATTACAGAGTATCCTTTTAATTCAAACTTGTTTTGAATTGATCAAATGAAGAGTTATGGAAACAGTGGTAATTTTGATGATCATTTGGACACAGCAAAGAAATGTGCAGCACTGTTGAAGACCATGAATATTCAAAAAACACTGCTTTGCAGAGGCAGTGTTAAACACCATCAAATACTGTATAACAAAAACACTTCTCCCACACTATGCAAAAAAATGAAAATGAAAAATTCTATCTATGCTGCTACCCTATAACACCGTAGATCACATATAGCATACTCATCAAAATGAATTAGACTGAATATGAGGCAGCGCTATGGTACTAAAACCCAATGCTTTCAAATGAATAACTCATGTAATTCAAAAGTGATAGTAAGAATGTCCATATGAATAAAAAAATGTCCAGTGACAACTTTCAGTGTTCCATTACCGAAAGAAATTACAATGTGATGGACTTTTCACATCACCACATGATCAGTACAAAACCACTCCCCAGCACTCACTCTGTTCAAAGGGTACAACCCTAAGCGAAAGTTGGTAGACGAAACGCGTTAGACGGACCAAACACGATATCAGAACTCTATCGGAAGTGACACCGCAGAAGTCACAGCAGCGAGGACCGTTAATTAGTTTTGATGAATATGGTTTATGTGATTGTTAACCACAAGCCTACAGGGCACTTATACCCCCTTCCTGCCCAGGCCAATTTTCAGCTTTCAGCGCTGTCACAATTTGAATGACAATTGCGCGCTGATGCAACACTGTACCCATATGAATTTTTTATCATTTTTTTTGTGACAGATAGAGCTTTATTTTGGTGGTATTTAATCACCTTTGGGTTTTTAATTTTTTCTTAAACAAACCAAAAACCACTGACAATTTTGGAAAAAAAAAAAATGTTTTTCTTAGTTTTTGTTATAAAATTTTGTAAATAAGTGATTTTTCTCCTTCACTGATGTGCGCTAATGAGGCTGCAGTGATGGGCACTGATAGGTGGCACTGATGGGCACTGATGAGGAGGCACTGGTAGGTGGCACTGATGGGCATTGACAGACATCACTGATGGGAACTGAAAGGCAGCACTGATATATGGCACTGATAGGTGGCACTGACTGGCACTGATAGGTCGCACTGACTGGCACTGTTAGGCAGCACTGACTGGCACTATTAGGCGGCACTGACTGGTACTGATAGGTGGCACTGATAGGCGGCACTGATAGGTGGCACTGATTGGCAGCACTGATAGGTGGCACTGATTGGCATTGATAGGTGGCACTGACTGACACTGATGGGTGACACTGAAAGGCAGTTCAGATGGGCACGGATGTGTGGCATTGATGTGCACTGGTAGGCACTGATATGTGGCATTGATGTGGCACTGGCACATGGCACTGATGAGCACAAACAGCTGGCACTGATGGACACTGACAGGTGGCACTGCTGGGGCTACACTGATCATCAGTGCTCTGATCATCAGTGTAGATGTCCCCTCCGCGGAATGACGATTACCGGCTCTCCTCTCCTCTCGAGCAGTCAGCGTGACAGCTCGAGAGGAGAGAAATGTCGATAACCGGCATTTCCCTGTTTACATGTGATCAGCTGTGATTGGGCACAGCTGATCACATGACCGAGCCGACATCTTCGGCTCTTTCTGTGGATTGGTGATCCGCTGTGTCCGAGGGACACAGCGCACCGCTGATTGCCGCGCTGCGCGCTCCGGGAGCCGCGCATGTGCAGTGAGAATGGCAGGACATCATATGACATCCTCCCAGAACGAGAGAACCACCTTGCTTCCATCATATTACTATATGGCAGGCGGGAGGTGGTTAAAGAACAAATATTTCAAGTTAGTGGGAATTTTTTAAAAAACATGTTTTTTTAATTCATTATGGCCTGCCTATAATTTGGAGGTCATAGCTTTCAGTGACCGTGGTTCTCAAAGGTAGAGAGATCTACTTGGTATTGAGTTTTTTTTTTGCGTAAGATATTTATCAGTTCATATGGTGGATGCTATACATGGGCAACAATATCCAATATTCATTTCTGCACGGAGTATATGACTGCCATTTAATTTTGGTTTTAGGAATAAGAACACCTATCACCCCATATGGGTCCCAGTTGTAGAGATTAGTACAGTAAGAACTTATTCTACATATATCAAAGCTGGAAGTCTGTCCCCAGTGGGGGCAGACTGGATAACTAGGGTTTGGTTATAGCATCTGGGACAAGCCTTGGACACAGAGAGCTTTGATCTGTCTTGCAAGGCAGCAGTAGTGGAGAGGCAGAATACCTATTAAACTAGTGGGAAAGAGCTCAGCATTCTTGCTCATTCAGCAGAGGTGAGAATCCTTAGTACTGAGATGCAGAGACTAAGAAGTTGCTTTGTCTTCTCCAGAGTACCCCACAAGGGGTGTTAGATTTCGCTGCTGACATCTCCAAGGTTGTGGCCCTCTGACTCACCCAAGGGGTCAGCTACTTAGGATAGGATTAGGTATGCATCAAGAGTATCTTTCAGCACAGAGGTGCTGAGATCGCAGATCAATAGACAGTACAGTCTAGGCTGACAGGGGTCCCTGTGTCACATGGGGTGTGCATGGGGTCTGTTAGTGGAGCATAAGATGATGTGGGTGGCTCTTTGCACAATTTCATATCCAAGTACCCTTGGTGGTGGAGACAGGGACTGCTAGGGCAGTACGAGGGTGCAGGTGTAAGGATGTTGGAACAGCAAACTTGGACTTGGATATGCTGAGGTGGGATGAGCAGAAGCAAGGAGTCCGTTCACAAGCTGAGTTCAGTAACAGCCAGGCAGATTGGTACAGTATCATGATCAGCGTCCAGGCCAGAGACAGGCAGGTGTCAGCAACATACTGGCAGTGAGGTACCAAATCAGCAGGCCGAATGTTACTCCAAAGTCCAGGCCAGGGTCGGTAACACGAATCGGTAGCATACATAAGCAGGACAAGAGTCAGACAGATTCACGAAGGCTTTCAGGAACACAAGTCAAAAGTGAAAGCTGAAAAACATCCAGCAATGATACTGAAAGGTTGTCGCTAGCCCCTGGCTATCTGTCTTTATCAGCCTGTTGAGGATACGGACGCGTCCGGAGGATTAACTTCACCATCAGAAACAACAGACATTCACACAGTGATAGGTGAAATCAATCTCTCAAGTTTATTAGCGGGAAGAAAATTAATATAACAGAAAAAAGAAAAGTGGGGGGCACAGAGTATCAAAAAGCTGAGTTGTCAGTAATTGATTGGCTGAATACAAATAAAACAAACATTTACGTCAATTCTGAAAAGTGATGAGAAGTGGAGTTTCACTTTCCCAGGAATAAGGAAAGTTTCTACATTGTTTTAAAACACTTATCTACTACATACAATAGAATCTTGCTAGATATTTGTCAAGGCAGTAAACATAACTCTTCTCAGACCATGAAATCAGTTACAAGTATCCAACAATTATTTTCCCATGGGACAGAAGTATTTGACTTCTAATTATATCATAACAGAAACAGGTGCTGTTAGTACAAAGAAATAATTGGATACTATCTCTGTCTCTACCAAGGCTAAACTAAGATAAGAAATAGAAGAATATTTTGAGTATAGTTCTGTAACACCTAACTGACATAGCATATTTTCATTAACTCATTCTGGGTATAATACAAAACAATTAATCAACACGTTAGTACAAAATCTAAAATGGAGTGGGGGGAAAACAAAATGACAGACCTAAAAGACATACATTTCCCTTCAGATACCATGCAATCTGTTCTTAGACATGAATTTCACTCCTGGAGACTGAACTGTTGGAGAAGTTTGCATTAGAGTGAACCTGTTGCTTTTATATGTATGGGCACCTCAATGCACCCCCACAATGCACGTGCTGCAAATAAAATGCACCCTGCTCTATTTTTTCATGCATTTAGGTGCACTGCAGTGCATTCATTTTGAACAGGCTCCCAAGCTTCTCAGTGCTTGAAAATGCATGCTTTAAGGCACATGGCATTGCAGTGTGAAAGGCCCTTACATTTTTGAGTTTTATATGCACATGATAGCAGCCACTATTTTGCATATATGTTGTTTTTTATATTCAGTATTGCAGAGCAGAGAATGTGATTTTCTGTTTTTAGGATCAGCTCATACTCCTAATGATTGATTGAACACAATACAGCCTCTCTGTGTCTCACCCCGTAAATGATTTTATCTCAGAAGACATTCGGCAGGATTCTGATTGTACTGTTTGACATACAGAATGTCGCTAGAGGGAGAATCTACAAATCTGCATACAAAATACCATTAAGAAGCAATGGCACAGCAAGCAAGTGAAAACGAGAAAGGCATATTCAAATTTACTCCAAGATAAACGGTGAAATAATAACTCACATTGGGTATATTTTCCTTGCTAAAGGTCAATCAAACATAATTTTAAATTTGTATTTGGATAAATTTCTGTGGACTGTAAATTCTGTTTCTCCTTGCCCACTGCCATTTGTTGTTTAAGGGACAGTACCACATGTAGAGAAAAAAAATGTATAGACTTGTTTTATCCAGCATTGAGTTAATATCCTACATCTTTAGTAATTGTAGTGCAGACCCAAAGCTGCTGGTCCCATTATTTTGTCCCAGATTCTATTCCCTATTGGATGCTCAGCAGTTAGACACACCTTAGTTTCCCCAGTCTTTTCGACACAATAACCAGGCACCACATCCTGTCCATATAGGATGTTATATGATGTCCTGTGTTGTAAAAGCCATCCTAGTGGCTGATTAGCCACTGGATTGCTTGTACAGGCAGCAAGAGGGGGTATCCCCCCCACCACCACCACCAGTAGCGCCTCTCCATGCTCTCCTGTGTGATTGGGGAGCTTGCCAGGGACCATCTCTATGATTCTGAGAGGCCGGAAGCAACGTCATGATATCATGTCTGGCTCTGTCAAATGTGGACATTTTTTTTCTGGAAAGCCTGAGTTAAATTTTTTTTATCTCATGCTTTCAAGCATAGAGGAGAAGTGTGGGCTCTCTATATGTTAGGTATCTATTTACTCGGCATAACATCATCTTTTATATTTTACCAAAAAATTGGGTTATATATTGTGTTTTTTTGCATTAACATTCATTAAAGTATAAATTTCCCAATAAACATTTTCTTGAAAAATTGCTGTGCAAATACTGTGTAACCTAAAAAATTGCAACGACCCCCATTTTATTCTCTAGAGCAGGGGTCTCCATACTAAGGCCCTCCAGGTGTTGAGGAACTGCAAGTCCCATGAGGCCTTGCAAAACTCTGACAGCCACAGGAAAGACTCCCAGAGGCAGAGGCATGATGGGAGTTGTAGTACTTCAACAGTTGGAGGCCATAGTTTGGAGACCCCTGCTCTAGAGTCTCTGCTAAAATATACATATCTATAATGTTTGGGGGTTCTGAGTAATTTTCTAGAAAAAAAAAATATGATTTTTACATTGGCCTGGGTGGGAAGTAGTCAAAGTTTAATGCTGGTTAAGCTTGGTTGGGGTGTAGGGTGAGCCTTGGGACACTCCAAATTTAGTGCAAATAGAGGAAAGTCTATGGTAGTAACTGAACTCTTCAGAATGAACCTCTTGTAATAGCATGCAGTGGACATACAGCTCAGTGGACTCCCACTTTGGAAGCACCCCTAAGCCAGCAACTCTGAAATAGTCTCTCTAAGGTAGAAACTCTCTCTCTAGGATCTCTCTTTTCTTAGGCCTCTACTCATTGTGTCTCTGAATACATGAATGCCTCTTTCCAGTACCAGCCAGATCCTGTTCTGTGAGCCTCCAGACCATATCCTCAGCAGACTTTCTCCAAACTATTCTCAGCTACTTAGATAGCCCACACTCCCCCCCCCCCCCCAGCTCTCCCTGGGCTGGGACCTCATTGAAAAACCTGCAATCTTAAGTCAATCTACCCAGAAGAGTCTTCTTCACCAAGACAAGTACTCTGCTATTTCAAGCCTTTATAAACACTGCAGCCCCCTGCTGGTCGGCCCCTCTGACCAGGGATTGGCAGAGGCTGTATGAATATTCAGCCCAGGTTCTTCCTCTCTCAGCCCACTGTATTCCAGAACCTACTAGACACAGGGGGCAGTTGTTGAGCCTGCAACCCACAGGACCCAGAACAGGCAAAAGCAATCAAATCGTGCTCCACTGGCTACAGAGGAGCCAAAAACTAAATTTACCTAATCCTACTAGCAACCTAACTAGGGGGGTGCTACACTATTTTGAATATTATAGAGGTTAAGGTGATACCTCAAACACGGATTTACAGAAAATATCCATCTTTAAAACAAAGCTGTTATCAGACTAAGAATGCAGGTCCTGGCTCCCCTCTCCATTACACTTGAATGCATTGGTGTCACCATTTTGAGCTGTCAGATACTGGCATGTAGAAGAGCTTACATTCCAATAAAGTATATAGTGATTATACAGAAAGCAGAAAACCTTACAGTGAACTAAGGCATAGGAGAATGATGCTTTAGATGAGCTAAAATCTATCAAACTACTAACTAAAAAAAAAAAAGATTTTTTTTTTTAGGTGAAAACATTTGTGTGTGTGTTTTTTACCCTCTGTACTACTATAATATTCATATTCTACATGAATATTGAAAGCTAGGATTTTCGTGAAAATTAGAATTTTCAATTAC